GTCTGTAGTGGAATTTCCATCACTCTGAGCTTGGGGAGGGGAGGGAGGATGCAGACTATACTTTAGCCAGAGCTCTCACTGTTTTTACCGAATTTCATACATTTTCTTGAATAAGTGTTTCTTCGTTTTCTGTATACCCTTAGGACCATTTCCAGAGAATTAACTCTTTTTGCCTTTTAAATTTTATTTAAATTCAATTAGCATATAATGTATTATTGGTTTCAGAGGTAGAGGTCAGTGATTCGTCAGACATATAATACCCAGTGCTCATTACATCACATGCCCTCCTTAATGTCCATCACCCAGTTATCCTGTCTCCCCATACCCCCTCCCTCTAGTGACCCTCTAGTTCCTTATGATTAAGAGTCTCTTAAGATTTGTCTCCCTGTCTGATTTTGTCTTGTTTTATTTATTGACTTAATGATTATTTTACAATAATTTTCACCAGTGTCTACAGACTCCTTATGTTGCTATGCCAAAAGTAGAACCTCTGCTACCATTTTTACTAGATTCCTATCTCCTTTTCTTTTTTTTATTGTGTCTGGCTGAAGTTTTTGAGTATTATGCCCCTGGTCTCATTTCCCCTCTACACTGTGGTTTTTGTTGTGAGATTTGTGTAGTCTGGTGACTTTTAGCAATGCATATGTTGAAGTAGATAATTTTTTTTATAAATTAATTTTTATTGGTGTTCAATTTACCAACATACAGAATAACACCCAGTGCTCATCCCGTCAAGTGTCCCCCTCAGTGCCCGTCACCCATTCACCCCCACCCCCCGCCCTCCTCCCCTTCCACCACCCCTAGTTCGTTTCCCAGACTTAGGAGTCTTTATGTTCTGTCTCCCTTTCGAATATTTCCCACACATTTCTTCTCCCTTCCCTTATATTCCCTTTAACTATTATTCATATTCCCCAAATGAATGAGAACATACACTGTTTGTCCTTCTCCGATTTGAAGTACAGAATTGATTGTAAGTTGGAAGAAAATGGATAGTAAGAGATAGACCAACACCTACTAGCCAACAGAAAAAGTTGGTGTGGCTATAATAATGTCAGACCAAATAGACTTTATGTTAAGATGTATTGCAAGAGATAAAAGTTATAAGTATTACATACAGGGGCACCTGGCTGGCTCAGTTGGTAGAGCATGTGACTTTTAATCTCAGGGTTGTGAGTTCAAGCCCCATGTTTGGCATGCAGATTACTTAAAAACAAAACAAAACAGGGAACCCTGGGTGGCACAGTGGTTTGGCGCCTGCCTTTGGCCTAGGGTGCGATCCTGGAGACCCGGGATTGAATCCCACGTCGGGCTCCCGGTACATGGAGCCTACTTCTCCCTCTGCCTGTGTCTCTGCCTCTCTCTCTCTCTGTGTGTGACTATCATAAATAAATAAAAATTTAAAAAAAGCAAAAACAACAAAAAAACGCAAGTATTACATACAGCTAAAAGGGTCAATTTAACAGGAAGTTATAACAACCTTAAATTCACATGCCCCCAAAAATATTCCTCCAGAGTACATGAAAGGAGGAGTTGCCAATCACATTGTAAAGGGCATGAATACAGAATGAAATAAAGGTGGCTATCTTTGCAACCTTCCACATTAATAGAAGAAAAAACGTAATGATAATACTTGATTAATCTATTAAAAAGGAAAAAAACACTTCATTAACTCATAGAAAAATAAATACATAAATACATGATAATGTATATTTAAATTACATAAAGCAAAAATTAACAAAACTAAAGAGAAAATTTACAAATCCAAATTGCAGATAGAATTTTAACATATCTCTTTCAGTAACTGACTGAACAGGGAGAAACCCAAAAGGTTAAAGATACAGGAGCTCTGCATAAAATAATTAATCAACTTAATTTAGGTACCATGCTACACTAAACAACCTTTTCAAACATTATTTCCAAGTATGTATGGGCTGTTTACCAAGATAGACCACATCCTGAGCCTAAAGGAAGCTTCAGCAAATTTCATTGGATTGAACTCACTGAGAATACATTCTCTGATCAAAGAATAACCAAACTAAAAATCAAAGTTAACCTAAAAATCCCCAGATATTTATAAATTAAGTAATGTATTTCTAAATAATTCATAATTCACAGAAGAAAGCATACTGGAAACTTTAAAATGTTATGATCTGAATTATAATAAACATAGCAATCACAACTATAAAACACTAGAGATAGAAATAAAAGATTAGATAAGTGGATGGACATAGTGTATTCATGATTGAAAGTTATTAAGATGGTAATTCCTCCAAATCTATTCAATGGAATTCTGTTCAAATTTCCGGCCAATTTTTCAATTCTGAAAATTCACAAGCTGGTTCTAAAACGAACATGGAAATGCAAAGAACCAATAAAAAAAGTAAGACACTCTGGAAAGAGAAGCAAGAATTTTAAGCACTGAGAATATCACATATTAAAAGTGATCATAAAAAAATAAATAAAAAATAAATAAAATAAATAAAATAAATAAAAGTGGTCATAAAACTACTTGGTATTGGACAAGAATATGCCAGTACACAAATGAAACATAGCAGTCCAGAGACATCTCTCCATGTAAGGTAACATGGTTTATAACAAACGTGCTTCTATGATGCAGGGGAGAAAGCTTGGTTATTTCAACAAATTATACTGAATTAATTAAATAACAATATGAAAAAAATGGAGGCATCTGGTTTCTCAGTCAGTTAAATGACCAACTCTTGGGACGCCTGGGTGGCTCAGCAGTTTAGCACCTGCCTTCGGTCCAGGGCATGATCCTGAAGTGCTGGGATTGAGTCCCACATCAGGCTCTCTGCGTGGAGTCTGCTTCTCTCTCTGCCTGTGTCTCTGCCTCTGTGTGTGTGTGTGTGTGTGTGTGAGTGTGTGTGTGTGTGTGTGTCTCATGAGTAAATAAATAAAAAAGTCTTTTTAAAAAAATGACCAACTCTTGATTTCAGGTAAGATCACCATCTCAAGGTTGAGAGATCAAGCCCCATATGAGGCTACTCACTCACCATGGAGTCTGCTTGAGATTCTCTCTCTCCCTCTGCCTCCAACCCTCGCCCTGCACTCTCTCTCTCTCTCTCTCTCTCTCTCTCTCATTCTCCCTCTCAAGTCAATAAATCTGAAAAAAGTGCTTAACTTCAACAATAATTAGGGATAAGTTAATGAAAGCCCTAATGGGATGCCACTACAAGCCAACTGGAATGGCTAAATTAAAAAAAAATCAAAACTGACAATACCACATCTACCAGTTACACTACTGTGGAGTCCAAAATGGTACAAATAACAACAACAAAAAATGGTTGGCACTGTCACAGAAATTGAAGATACACATTCTCTGACCTAGCTGTTTCACTCCTAGACACACACCTAGAAAACAGGCACATGTACACCAAGAAACATAAAGAAGCATGTTCATAGCAGCAAAATTTGGAAACTAATAACAACTGAAACTTCCATCAACAGTAAATGGACAAATAAATTGTGGTCATCTCCACAATGATGAAAATGAGTGAAGCATAGATCCTCATAGTGGTACAGATGAATCTCACAAAAGATGCTGAACAAGGGATCCCTGGGTGGCGCAGCGGTTTGGCGCCTGCCTTTGGCCCAGGGCGCGATCCTGGAGACCCGGGATCGAATCCCACGTGGGGCTCCCGGTGCATGGAGCCTGCTTCTCCCTCTGCCTGTGTCTCTGCCTCTCTCTCTCTCTCTCTCTCTGTGACTATCATAAATAAAAAATAAAAATTTTAAAAAAAAGATGCTGCACAAAAGAATATATAGGAGTCAATTAAAACAAAGTTAAAAAAAAAACAACCAACACATAAATTTGAGTACTAAAAACATAAAGAAAAGCAGAGAAATTAAAGCCAGGATTTGGTGGTTAGGGAGGAGTTTGTGATGGGAAATCTTGGGGGCTTCTATGTGGAATGCTGATGCCATTCTATATCAACTGATGTGGGCGGTGGAGACATAGGCTTTTAAATATACATTTATAATACATTGACCTATACTTTCCATATGTGTATTATATCTTAAAATAAGTTTTTATTTTAAAGCTAAAAATGCTGGAAGAAAATAAATATACAGCTGAGAAAGAGTCTAGCTTCATTTATTGGGTTGTCTAGTTTCTCCAACATCATTTTTTAAGTCATCTGAACTATCCCCACTGATTTGTGATTCCAACTTAAAACATATTTAATACTTACTCGCAGTTGAGAGTCAGTAGTGGTTATCAACAATCTGGTCTTGGTTTTGGGCCGGGATGAACGGACTTTTGCGTAGGGGGTGGGGCTGGAGTGTGAATAAAGTAGAGTAAAGCGGGGGAGGGAGGATGCGATAGTGATCGTCATGGGATTTATTTTTAAATAGGAAAATTCTAGAAACAGAACTGAAAAGAGAAAGGAAGTCTGTGAGAGGGTTGCCAAGTCCTAGAGTAAAGTGTCACCTGATACAAGAACTTTTGAATGAGCTCAGAGTAAAACTATTTGGAGGAGACCTAAAGAGGAGGCCGCGCCTGCAGGGTGGAGGTCTGTTATGCTGGAAGGTCGCCCAAGGGTACAACTTTCATCCACATCAAGTGGGCGGTCGCATAAAGCTTGAATGTTCTCGAAGATTTGACATACTGCTGTTTCTTAGTCGTGTTCGTCGCTGTATTTTTTCTTCTTAAACATTGATTAAAGGAAATTACAGAACAGTATGCGCGGACACGCTTTGTCTAATCTCGGCCGCGGGGGTCAGTCCCTTCTCCGCGAGCGGCGGAGCGGCTGGGGCGCTACCTGCCGGCGCCGCCCGGGGCCGTCCCGGGGGTGGGGCTCGGGAGCGGGACTCGGACCACCCCCAGCGGCCGGCGAGGCGCACGCGGGCTCCCCAAGCCGGGGCGGCAGGGCGGGGTGCGCGGGGCGGTCCGAAGGCCTGGCCCCGCCCCTGGGAGGGGTGTCGCCCGGTCCGGCCGCCCGCTCGCGTCCCAGCGCCCGCACTCGGCGCCCCGGGCCGCGGCAGCGCGGGTCGGACCAGCGGCGGCGGCCGGAGATGCAGCGGGGAGGAGCCGCGCTGTGCCTGCGCCTGTGGCTCTGCCTCGGACTGCTCGACGGCGAGTGCGGTGAGGCCGTGAGGGCAGCTTGCCCGGCTGGAAGGGGGCGGCGGGGCGCGGGAGCCTGGGGACCCGGGGCGGCGGGGGCGGTGCTGGGCGCCGGGGGTCGCGGACACCGGGTAGGGCGCGGCAGAGCCGGCCGGCGGGCTGGGGGAGGGCGGGCGGAGCCTGCGGACGGGCCGGGGACCGTGCTCGCGGTCGGCCCCCACGGTGGGCGCTCGCGGTCCTCGACCGGCCCCCACGGTCGGCGCTCGCGGTCCTCGACCCGCCCCCACGGTCGGCGCTCGCGGTCCTCGACCGGCCCCCACGGTCGGTGGCGGCTCAGCGCCTTTGGAGCGGGGCCGCAGCGCCCCGCATCCCCCGCCGGGTCCTTCGCTCGCGCACTACCTTCGCGGCGCGCCGCGGCCCTGCCCTGAGACCCGCCCGCAAACGGGCCGTCCCCGCCGGGCAGACCTGGGTGCGCACTTCCCGACGCCTCCCAGCGGCGCTCGCGGTCGGTCCCCAGAGGGCGCTCCGGGCAGGTGTCCACCTCCCCGGGCCAGGGATTGCGGAGGCAGGCGTTCTGGGACCAGCGGAGACCCGCACCGCAGGGCGGACTGGGCGAGGGTGATCGCGGGAACTTGGGAATCTTGAGTTGGCAACGCAGGACAGCGACCAACGTGGCGGAAGAGGCAGGATGCCCGTGCGCCCTGCACTTGGCGGGGCAGCAGCCTTGAAGGCCAAACTCAAGAGCTTGGACTCTAAGGCAGGAGCAGCCACGGAAAGCTCATAAGCACAGGAGAGGCAGGGGTAGGGTCTGTGACAGGAACAGGACCAGAAGTTGCCCCTGTGCAGGTGGAGAAAGGGGAGTGTGGGAGATGAGAAAGGGAGCAGAGAAGTATCATTGCATAGAGATGCCAGGGCGTCGGTGAGGATAAGCTCTAGTGAGCCAGGAAATCAGAAGGTAGAGGAGGGTCATGAGTCCCCAATGGCTGGGGAGAAAGTACTGGAAGGGCTGGGGTGGAGGGGTCCTTGCTATGTTTGAACACCGCAGATATTGAATATGGCTTCACATGCTTCCTCTTTTTTAATAATCCTCACAAGGGAGTGTTAGACCCATTTTACAGAGAAGGAAGCATAGAACAGGGACATATGTAACTTCTCCAATGCTCCCAAAGGCCAGCAATAAGAGCAATAGTCAACCCAGGTCTGTAGGACAACAGAGCTCTCTATTCTCTACGCCTTCACAGGCTGAAGGGCAGAGGACAGGGGAGATGAAGGAGGTGTGGATGACTCTAGAGGCAGGATGGAGGAGGACATCTGGCTGGGGCCTCTGAGTTGGGGCAGGTCAGAGATGAGGAGCTGCCCCTTTGCCCTTCCTTGCTCCCCTGCATCCAGCCCAGGGCCAGGCTCTCACAGATACTTAGTGTGCTTGCTAAGTGACCGAAGGAGTGTGGAGAGAGAAGTGAAGTGGGTCAGGCTGAGGAGTGGGAGAACCCCCTACACACCCTTTTGAGAAGACATCCAGCAGCCAGTTGGGTATAGTGTCTGAAGCTCAAGAGAGCCTGGGCTGGGGAGCTGGAAAAGGAGCAGAGCAGAGTCCAGGATGGAAGCTAAACGGGAAGAGGCTTTCAGGGAGACAGGGAACATTCTGCAAGGTGAACCTGGTGTTGGGTGATCAAGAGATGGAGGAGGGAACAGGGATGAGGCTGGTCCTGTGGGGGAGTTCAGGTGGTTCTTACCTAAGTCAGACAGTGAAGAGGAGGAGAGAGGATGTTAGCTGAAGGGGCCCATGGAGGAGGGTGGCCTAACTGGTCCATGGCATGGCTGGTGGGAAATGTGCCATGCATTTGTCCCAAAGCTCCCAGCCTGATGGAGGATGCTAGAGCAGAAGCATAAACACTTTAAGTGTAACCAAGTGTCAGGGGAGCCAGAGTGGGTGGCCAGGTACTGGTAGGTGAGAATTTCAGGGATGCTGAAGCTTAACCCTCAAAGGTATGCAGTAGCCCTACATCCAGATTTCTGTTCCAGCTCTTCCCCTAAATTCCTGGCTGTGTGGCCTGGGCCCCAACTTCCTCTCCCTGCATCTTAGTTTCCACATGCGTAGCAGGGCAATGGGCAAGCACTTGAGAGGCTGTGCTTGGGCTGGACTTTATGGCTTGGGTCCTAGTCTAGTTCCAAAAAGTAGTTCCTTGGCAATGTCCCTGTGGAGAGGGCAGGTGGCAGAGGACAGGCCCAAGAGGCTTTGTCTTCAGGGCTTAGTCTAAAGAGAAGCTGGGTTGCCCTGGCCTGAGGACTGGCCCTTGCTGAGGCTCATGTGGCCAGCCATTGTGCATCCCCCTGGCTCTGTTCCTCAGCCCTGAGCTAGATTCAGGTGTGGACAGAGGTATGGGGAAGGGACGGGGCATGCCAGCCAGGGTAGGCAGGATGTAGGGGCCACCTTACTTGGTCCTGTGGGCTGCTGGTCCCAGCTCAGTCACTGTGGCTGAAAGGCTCCCTCCCAGAAGAGGACCGTGCACAGGGCACAGTGCCCACACGACCAGGCATTAGACTGAGAATGACGTGCAACAAGAGGATTACCTGGCCAGCTCCCTGATGTTCCATTCCCAACCGGCCCCAGGCAGTGGGACCCTGACCCAAGGAAGGAGACTGCAGTTCTATGCAGGTCACAAGCCATGGTGCCTGCTCAGGGTGGCTCAGGGAGGATTTGGACCAGCTCCATCCCGCAGGGATTTCCTGAGTGCCAGACTAGCAGGGACGTAGGCATGGTATCAGACACCTGTATAGTAGGGACAAAAGTGCTCAGTGACTCCTTTGAGCCCCAGTTGGTAGCTGGGGACTGCATAGGAAGATGGCATCACTTCTAGCTGAAGGCTTCCTGAAGGGATCTGCGGACTCTAGGGAAGAGAATTCCAAGTATTGAAAAGAACTCCTCAAAAGCGCAGAGTCAGGAAAGTCTAGAGGGGGCCACGGGTAGGGTTGGGGAGGTGAGGCAGCTGGAGATGGCAGGAGCCAGCAGCACACCTAATAATGGAAAGTTCTGGGCCACGTCCCCTGAAGGCATGGTCAGAGGGGCAAACAACACAGGAGCCCACCACAAGGAAGATGAAGCAGGGGAGGAGGGGGCAGAAGGTGGAGGGATTGGGGTGTGGGGTAGGGGGATGTGTGCTAGTCTGTGGCTTAAGCCACAGAATGGGTCATGAAGGTTGTTTACTAGATGGGGACCCTGGGAGGAGGAGAGTATGTGGGGAAAGATGAGTCGCTGCCCTGGGAGGCAGGTCCTCCAAGAGATGTCCAGCAGGACTTCCCGGGAGACCCTAGTTGACCCATCTGGGCCAGATGAGGAAGGAGGACACTTGGGAGCACCTGACTGTAATAAGGCAGAGGGGAATCGGGGGATCCAGGAAAATTAAGTGGGTCTCAGCCACAAGGGCCAAGGTTCTTCCCTGGGTCTAGCCGACACTCCTCCCACTGTCACTGGAGCGTAACCCTCCCCATTGCAGGTTTCTCCCTGCCTGTCCCCCCAGCTCTCAGAGATGCCTCCTGGGGAGGCAGGGGTCTGGAGAGGCCCCTCACACTCCCTGCCCTAACTTCAGCCAGAGGCAGCCGACGTGTCCAGCTGGAGCCAGGGATTCCTGAGTTTCGATCCTTTTCAGACACTGGCTTCCTCTGGGATCTCAGTTTTCCGGCCAGGCCGAAGGGAGAAGTCTGGAGCAGGAAGGTGCGGGCATTCAGGGCTGGCAGCGCCCCGCCCCGCCCCCGCGCCCCAGGCCACCTCCGCCCCCACCCCTCGAGCCAGGCCCCTCGATGTGGGCGGCCACGAGCAGGCGCAGGGCAGGGTGGCCAGTGGGGGAGTCCCGCCACGCGGCCAGGAGGTCAGCAGGGGTTCATGGGAAAGGACTTGCCGGCCACAGGAGAGGACATCCTGCCTGCGTTTCCCTCTTCCTGCGGCAGGAGCCCACGGCCCCGATTTAGCAGCGCTGGGGGGCCACCTCTGAGCCAGCTGTACTGTCTGATAACACCGCCCGTCCTGTCTCTGGGGAGCAGAGCCCTGACCCCAGGCAGGCCCGGGGCAGCTGCCTGGCACAGCTGGCTGCACCCACAGCTGTGCTGGAGCTGGGAGCTCAGATCTGCTAGGGTACCCCTACCTCCAGGTCAACCTCAGGGGGTACTCAGGCAGCCCCTGCTCCCACTCAGCCCCCACCTCCCTCTCTGTTTCCAGAAATTGCCTCCAAGGTGCCCCAGTGGGACATCTCTAAAACACAGGTCTGAGCTTTCAGTAGCACCCCCATTGATAAGCACCAGCTTCTTCTGAGGTCCCAAGGGCAACCCTAACCAGTCCATGTAGCCTGCCCCACCACACACCCCAGACCTCAGCACATGACCTTTCACCTGCTCTAGAGACACCCTGCCTCTCACCCTGCCTTTGGGGAGGCTGCCAAGAACTCCAGGCAGAAGATGGTGCTGCTTCAAGTGGGTGGGTGAGAGGGGGTTCCATTCCCACTTACAGTGTGCCCCCAGAGCATGGAATGTGGGCTTTCAGGAGGGATTAGGGGAAGCTCTTATCCTTCCCCAACTTAAAGCACCATCCTTAGAGCTACTGTAAGTTCTACCAAACAGAGATTCATTCATATTAAGCAGCACCCACGCACCCACAGATGCATATTTGAAGTGTCTAGCAGTGGAGCCTCCCCTCAGTGTAAAATGGTTAATTAAACTGCTTTACACTAGGGTGTGTGAAGGCTTTAGCTCCATATCACAGGCTTATTGTGTCCCTTTTGGAGATTAGGAGTTAAGGGCAGAGGGATGAAATGGCTCACAAGGTGCTAGAGAAGCTTTGTAGGAATGTCAGGCATCAGCTATCTGGTCTCAGATGGCATGGGGGCCCAGGGGTTCGAAGGGACAGGTGGCTGTCCACATTCCCCAAGGAAGAGTCTGGGTGGGGGAGGCAGGTGCAGTCCTAAATTTCTGACCACTTCTTGGACACTTTTACCTTGATTGCTCCAGAGACCTTTCAAAAGCAGCATGCC